GGACCAAAATTCTTAAAACTGAAAAACAAAGCCTAGAAGAAAATCAGCAATGTTTTAGTCAAAAGTCATAAAATTCTATTTCATCAGTTCAGTCAATCTTCCTGATTAAATTCTGGGATATAATATTCAATTCCAGACTTGTTCCCACAATTAAGTTGGCCATTTTCTTAGTTTTGAACTCTTATTCCTGTGTGTCTGGATTTAATTTTCCTGGTATAGCACTCCCTTCAAAACTTCTTGAAGATCTGGTCTGGTGGTGTTTTAGGTTTTGTTTATCTGAGAATGTTCTTGCCTTTTCTTCCCATATGAAGGATAATCTTGCCAGGTACAGTATTCTTGTTTGAACTTGCTTTTCCCTTAACACTTGGAATATATTTTCTCATTCTTTCCTCGTTCACATTTTTTCCAATGAGAGCTCTGCTGTTAGCCTGATGGGATATCCTTTATAGGTAACTTGCCATTTCTCTCTTGCCAATCTTAGTATCTTGTCTTTGTGGTTTTGGTCAATCTGGCTATAGTGTGTCTTGGAGAAGATCTTCTTGGGTTGATTCTATTGAGGGTCCTTTGTATTTCTTGGGACTGGATCTCCGAATGCCTCCACACTTTGGCCATCCACACTTTCAATCCCCATCCCAGTGGCCTGAAAAATACACCGGGCACAAGTGCATGTGTGACTCAAATCCTGGTGAGATGGAGAAATTGAGGAAAAGGATTGCAAGCATGACCAGGGATCACTGGAGAGTGCTTTCTCTCTTTCTTTCAGTGTCTCTCTGTCTCTCTGGTGAGCACACACACTCTCTGGAAAAATACAAACGATGGCAAGGCCAGTGATGTTCAGAAAACGATAGAAAGGTAAATGTTTAAGGGAGTTTTCTCTGCTATTTTCATTAAGAGAAACATATATAAAACATGCCACCAGAGAGTATTTATGGAATATAAAATTGGAATGTGTTGCTTAATATTGGAATCATGAAAGTAAAGAGTGGTTGAAACTGTTTTGAAAGAAAGGATGGATGACATGAAAGTTATACGCATAGACCTTAGATTTTCTTGAATTACAGTAGATTTTGGAAGGGAAGGAGTAATATATTTTGTATACTTACATAATAAAAATACATATTATTGATAGTTCTTATAATATGTATTGTATTTAACAAATATTTATGGAGTGCCTACTATGATCCAGGCACTAAATTAGATGTTTAGAATTTGTCCTTGTTATATTTAACATCTTAAACCATATACTTGTGTACTTTTTGGTTTACCTTAAACTCGCCATTTCAGTTTTAATTATTTCTCTAGCTGAAAATAACTTTCTGTTTCCTGACCATGTAATTTGGAATGAGAATGATCTGAGTTAGAGCTGGTTATTTGCTAACAATGGGATACCTAGTAAATTATTAATACCCTTTGTAAATCTCAGTAATCTCAAGTGTTTAATGGGGAAAATAAGATTATCTGAGATTCTATGTTAATAGTCCCCAAATGGGCTTGGCTCTGAAATACAGTTCTGGTTCGAGTTTTCCCTCATGGGATCAGGCTGAATCAATGCTCTGCTAAAACCCCTTCTTTACTCCAATTTTCTCTCCCATCTTCTCCAGTTCCTCTAACTCCCCTTCACGTGGAAGGTCTCTCTCAGTAAATCACCAGCATCCCCATCTCAGGCTCTCCTTTTAGGAAAGCCGAGCTAAAACAGTGGCTGGTACAGAGCTGCTCTGCACACTGGCGTTCAGCTGAGGGGCATATATGTGCTAAAATTCAGTCCAAACTCTGTGAGCTTAGCTATGCACAGGGGCAAAAGGTACCTCATTTGCTTAAAGCAATGATTTATCTAGACTACACCCAAGATTGAACCTGGATTCAAAATCCAGAAAGGAGTCAGAAGGTGGCACAGTGCTGGGACACTGGACTCCCACATGACCAACTGCAGTTTGAGTCTCAGACCTGGCATCTTGCTTTCTCACTTTGTCATTTGTCTCTCTCTTCCTCTGTGGTGGGTGCACATGTCCTGTAGCAAATTGAAACATGATAATAATCATGATAAATAAAATTAAAGAAGTAATTAAAAAAAGAAAAGAAAAGAAAAGAAAACCCGGGAGGGAGCTCCAGCTTCAATGCCTATGCCCTCAATCACTGAGTAGTACTGCCTTCTTCTATTAAATGAATGATAATGGGCCAGCCCCTTAGCCTAGTGATTGAGGGAGCTGGATCCCACATGACCAATCCCACAGTTGGAATCCTGGTTGCTTGTGACTTGAAAAACACACCTGGCACATGTATGTGTGAACCCAAGGTCTCGGCATGATGGAAAAATGGAGGAAAAGCTATTGCAATTGGTCCACGCACCATCTGGAGTTTATTTTCTTCCCCTTTGTCCTCTGCTGTCTGTCTGTCTGTCAAGTGCATGCTCCCTCTGGGAGTTAAAATAAATAAATTAATTAATGAGCAATATCTGCAAGATTAAGAGAGAGGGAAAAGTACTTTTTTACACAGGAAAAAATGTCTGTGTGCCCTCCCCACACTAAAGTGATCACAAATTTGGACAGAAGTATGTTTAAAAACTATTTACTTGTACCATCTGAAAGTAAGTTGGTGACCTAAACTTTATAATTATTTGTTTTTAAAAAATTCTTCCAGAGGGTGTATGCTCTCACTGGAGAGAGAAAGGGAGAGAGAGAGAGAGAAAGAGCGAGCTAGAGAGAGAGAAAAAAATACCCCTGGGGAGATAATCACGCCAGAATCCATTCTCCCCAATCTCTCCTTTTAGGACTTTGGGCACACATGCATCCGGCATGTTTCTTAAGCCGCAGAGTCCAGGACTTGAACTGCACACATAGCCATATGTGGTAGATGCAGCTACCCTAACCACCATGCCATGGACTGGCTCTATAATCCTCTTATTTCTTTTCTTTCTTTCTTTTCTTTCTTTCTTTTTTTTTTTAGATGGATAGATTTTTGCTATACAGTGCGTGTGATCTCAGGAAAGACAGAGAGAAACAGAAAGCAAGAAACCAACCCCCTGAGGGGATGGCCACACTACAATCCCTTCTCCTCCATTCTCCTCTTGGGATTTTGGGCACACACACATATGCCTGGGGTGAGTTTCAAGCTTCTGGGTCCAGGACTTGACTTGGTAGGAGTAGGTCAACATAACCATCACTCCATCTGCTGATACAAAATTCTTTATACTTTTTAAAAACAAGGATATTCTCCTACATTATCACAATATGACCATCAACATCAGAAAGTTAACACTGATACATTTGGGCCACCTAATCCTCAGGCACCATGTGAGTTTCCCCACGGTGACAATAATGTTCTTTGTAGCAGAAGGATCCAGCCCAAGTGTGTTTAGTTGTTGCATCTCTTAGTCTCCTTCAGTCTGGATGCTGCTCAGTATGGGTTTGGCTCGCCTGACCTTCCCTTTGCTAAAGATTGCAGTCACAGGCTGGGAGTAGAATTTTCCAGGGTCTGATGTTTTTCACGATTTTGCTCAGGTTTGCCTCCTTGACAGGAATTGCACAGAGGTGACCCTGTGTCCTCACTGCATCGTTGCAGGTCTCCAGGACTGACTTACCCTATTCCCGATGATGTAGCCTCTGATGACTTGAGTCAGGGGGTGTGCTAGGTTTCTTCCCTGAGCATTCTTTCCCTTTATAAATAGTGGGTATTTTGGTAGTCGACTTTGAAACTGTGCAGTAATATTTATCAAATGTTCAGTTTATTCATTTACTTGGATATACCTGTATGTACTCATGTTTTCCTATTTCATTATAGTCTCTTAATTTCATTACTTATTATACTGTCCAAATGGTCTTTTATTTAGTTGGTAGAAGGCCCTCAGGCTGGCTTCTGTGTCCTTTTGATTTGTCCCATTGATTTCCTAAGGGGCATCTATATATCTATTTATCACCTACCCATCTGTCATCTATCTATATTGTCTATTTATCATGCATCTAGAAAAGCATGAATTTACAAAGACATTCCACTCTAGGCTGAATTTTTTTCTGAGTTTCTCCCTTTCTGAATCAGTGACTCCTTTCTCCAATAGAAAGAAACCAAGCTTGAGAAATCCTATTATTTGGTCAACCCCCCTTTACGTAGCCAACCCCGTCCACCCCTTTCCACTCACAGTTCTCTCCTCACCTCACCTGTTTTGCCGCACCATCTAGGCTCCAGTTGCTCTCATGAGGCCACCCGTCTGAGTGGACTCTTTCTCACCTTCTTGAGCTCTCACACCAAGGCCAGGCTACCCCTCAACCCCTCTGCCCTACCCGGTCTTGGACTCCTTACTTTGTGCTAATGTTGTGGCCAGTACCTTGCTGTGACACACCTAATGGCTTTGGAACTGGATTATTCAGGAAGGGAAAGGAAAGAGCAATAAAGGAAAAAGAAGAACCTTGTGCAGCTTCTACCAGCTAAAACTGGCAAATGCTTTTAGTTTTACTGCCCAATGGACCAATAAACCCTTCTTTATTCAGTGTTTATTGTGTTAGGATACTTGGGAGTTGACAATTGTATATGAAGAGTTATAAGAAAATGAGCTTCCTGTGTCCAGAAATGGCAGGGGAGATGAAATTAAAATGTTAAACTAGAGACCAGCAGGTAGTATAATGATTATGTTGCTAGACTCCCATGTAGTTGACTGTGGTTAGAGTCCCAGACCCAGCAACTTAAAACTCACATTGGGTGTGCATGCGTGTATGCCTGAAAGGAGAATGGAGAATGGATTGAGGTGTAGCCATCTTCCCTGGGGGGTGATTTCTTGTTTTCTGTCTCTCTCTCTCTGTGTGTGTCTGGTGAGCATACACACACCCTATAGCAAACATATCTCAAAAAATATTCAAAGTATAGTAACAACTGCTTTAGTTGAATGTTACAAAAATTGGAGTTCTGAAAAGTACCCCACACAACCAGTGACTGTGTGAATATTTAGTGGTTGGTTCTCACTGATTCAGTCCTCTAGATTCTCTTTTAATGTACACGAAGGCCTTAGATCATATTTTTACAAAGATGTGTTTATTGACTTTCTCAATATACTACTTATTATAGAAGACTGGAAATAAAACATAAGTGTTACTATGAGAATCATCACAATATTTCTCATTTTCACTACAAATTACTGATAAAATGGCTGAGGAACATTTATTCTGTAATAAGAGCTCAGGAAGACTTGATGGCGCTAACTGGGAGTGGATGGAGATAGTGCTATGGGAACCAGAGAGGCCGAGTCTACATGGCTGGCACTTAGTCACCATCTTTCTTACACAGCATATAAAACCCTACAGACACTGACAAAGCTCAATGAATGTGCAGACTCCCTAATCGTTCATCAGATGCAGTAGGTTAAGACCATCTTTACTTCTAGATTTTATTCACAAAGTGAAAACATCTCTGGTGTCCTGTGATACAGCTTCGCGGAAGAACGAACAAAATCCTTAGGGAAATCAGGCTCCACTTATGGTCGCATCTCTCAACTCCACCTTTAGAACAATTGGTTTTTCCGGTTGAATAAGTCCTTGCTTGTTTAATTTCAAGGGGATCTGCAACAGTTAGACAAGCATATTTAAAAGCAATGAATGAAGCATCACCGCCAACAGAAGTAAAGGAGAAAAGACACATTAAGTAAAATAATGCTTAACGAACATATACGTGCTTTTAGCATCATGTAACTCAAATTATTTATTCTTTTTTTTTCTTCTATTAATTAGTACAAGACACGTGTGTTCACCAGAGAGACACACACACACAGAAAAGGAAAGGAAGACAGCACCCCTCATGGGGCATGGTCCCATCACAATGTGTTCTCCATGGCTCAGTCCTTTTGGGATTTTGGCCATTCATGCACAGTGCCCAGAGTGTTTTTCAAACTGCTTGGCATGGGACTCCATCTGTGCAGGTGGCAATGTAGGATCCAGCTGCCTTAACCACCATATCACTGGCTAGTCCTTCTCATACTTTTTATTCTGTAAGTCGTGTCAAGATGGGATTATGAAAGCATTCATTCATCCACTCACTCAAGAAAATATTTTGTTGAGCACCTATTCTGTACCAGGCCTGAGACAAAATCATGTTGGCTAGTGTTCTGGTTTTTTTTGTGTTTTTTTTTTGTATTAAAAAATATGTTTTTTTATTGCCGAGGAATATGTGCCCTTGTGAGAGGAAGGGAGGGAGAGAGAAAGAGAAAGAGAGAGAGAGAGAGAGAGAGAGAACACAATCCCCAGAGGATATGGTCATGCCACAATCCCTTTCCTACATTTCTCCTTCCCTTCAGGAATTTGGGCACACATGCACACATGCCTGGCATATTTTTCTTTTTTTTGGCATATTTTTTAAACCACCACAGCTGAGATACAAACCACAGTCAGCCATGTGGGAGCTGGCTCCCAGTGTTAGCTCTTAACCATTGTGCTATGGGTCCAGCTGTGGCTTGTATTCTTGATTTAACTTTTAAATAAAAAAAAATTATTTTAAAAATTGAAACTAGGTGCCAAGTAGGTGTCATTGGAGCTTAAGGTGTTAGATCTTACATGGCAGGGTATTAGACTGCGAGACCCAGCAGCTTGAAAATCATGCTGAATGGGTGTACATGCATGCCCAGAAACCTAAGAGGAGACTGGAGGAGAAGGGACTGTGATGGACCATCCTCTCTGGAGGGTGGTTCTCAGTTTTTCTCTCACTGTCCAGTACGTGCATACCCTATAACAAAACAAGTAAACAAACGAAACTGAAATCAGATTCCTGGATATTATAGCAAGCCATTTTGAAAACTATATAATATAAGGTTATTTTTTTGTTTATATTTTAATTGTCTGAGTGCATGCGTGCTCACAAAGGAAGAGAGAGGTAGAAAGCATCCCCCAATTTGTGGTCATGCTGTAACACCTTCTCCTCCATTTCTCCATCCTGTTGCGATTTTGAGCCTAGCATGTTTTTCAAGTGACTGGGGCTAGGATTTAATCAGCAGTCAGTCATGTGGGATATGGCTTCCTTAACTACTAGGCCATGGGGTCGGCCAAGTTGGTTTTGTGTATATTGAAATTTATAATGTAACCCTGAGTAATTGTTACATATTTTAATTACGTAGGCAGTCCTTGACTTCTAGAATGCAGTCACATCTCCCAATAGAACCCATCCGATTTCTGATGGGAAGAGGCATGTAGGAGACATTATGCTTTTGCTTTATAACATATCTTAGAAGCTTCCAAGGGTGGTACTATTGAGGTTCTTCTGAGTTCTACAGTGTTTTAGCCTCATTCTCATCGAGTCACTCTTCTAGTGCTAATGAAGCCACCAATAAAGGTTAACCTTTTCATCTCAGTTGAGTGATAGATAAGAACATTGTTGTTGCAATTGAGAAATGCCAGCCTATAGATGACTGAGAACTTGCCAGAGAGTACCTGTCCTATCTCAGATAGGCCAGAGACCCACTTTGTCTCAGGGCTGAGCCCGTGTCTATACACACAAGATGGCTACATGGTTGCCCTAAAGTCGCACATAAAATAGAAGCTATGCAGAAAGCCTACAAGGGGAAGAGTTGCATATTAAATTCACTAATCCTAATTAAATTCTAATTAACTAGATTAATTAAATTCACAAATTCTAATTGAATTTAATCCTCATTAAATTCACAAATAAGCCTCATAGGGCTTTGCTTGATATGAATCAATGACAACTGTTCTTTAAATTCCTTAGAAGAGAGATTCCAAATCTTTCTATAAATTTCCCATTTTATTGTTTTAATATTCCAAATGGTATTTATATATTTTCCCTGCAGACAGACAGACAGACACATACACACCAAATGCCATTTGTTAAATTTAAAAATTTAGATAGTTTGACATTTGTATCTAAGAATTTCAAATAAACTTTAAATTTCTTTCTTAAACATTTACTGAATGCTTGCAATAAAGTAATCTTCAGTGCATCATTGGGAGTTGATAAAGGGAGTAAAATGAGGTGATGTAGTTAAGCGAGGAAGACATTCCTAGATAATTAGAAAGTGTAGAGAACCAAACTGGATGTTTTAGTGACAAATATTAAATTAGGTGCTGATAAAAGTCTTAGAGTAACCAATAACAGAGGTCAGGAGTGAATGGGTCATGGGCTAAATTGAGAAGTCTCCTTGGAGAGCTTGAGGATTGAACTAGGACTTGGAAATGAGTGAATGAGGAGAGAGAAAAAATTCATAGAGTTCTCACTGGGATGTAAAAGGAACCCAGTTTAGGCTCTGTACTGTAAGAATTCTTTATAGCTAGTAGAAATGCTGTTAATCAGTGATTCTCAACCTTGGCTGTTCAGGAGAACCAATTATTTTAGAATTCTGAGATGACCCAGGAATTAGGATTTTTTAAAAGCCCCCCTGTGATTCCAGCATACAGCCAATGGTTGAGACCTTCTGAGAACTTCTTTAACTTCTGGTGGAGGAGAGCACCATTTGGAAATCATGATGAAGTAATCACTGCACTTCCTGACTGTACACTACACGTCCCCATCTCCAGTTGACTTGAAAGTGCATTTAAAACATAGTTCAAGTTCAAAGAGACTGCACATAACCAAGTCTTGCTGATTTGCATTGATTCTAGAAGACCCTTATAGTTTGGTCTTTATAAAGCCACAGATTTAAAACATCAGAAATGAAGGACCCTTAAAGCTCATAGATGATTCCAAATAGATTGGTTGGCCCATAGAACAAATTACTGAGAGATGAACAAGCATATTATCTTTTACACATAGACCCCCTCAATTTAAAAAACAAAACAAAACAAAACCAAAAACAAAACCCAAAAAACAAACAACAAAACAAAACAAAAAACCATACATGCAAAAAGTTTACTCTCTGACCTGTGTTTCTTTACAAGGTTTGAAGGAGAAGTTCTGCATTACTCTGGTGAGAGCAAGTTTTATGTTCATGAGAGCAAACCTCATGCCAATGCAGTTTCGTGGCCCAGTTCCAAAGGGCATGTATATGTAAGGATTTACATTGTCCTTGTTCTTCTTACTGAATCTGTTTCCACAATAGAAGATGAAAACAAGTTAATAAAACAAACACCACAAGAGCAACATTGGTTCTCAGATTCACAAAGGCATGCTCAAGACACCTTCATGAAGGAATGTCTCCACCCTCTAGAAAGCAGCTGACTCTTCCAAAATGGAGAGTTACCAACTACTGAGCACACAAGGGAACTGGCAGAGCACTGCAGCCATGGATAGGCCAAGAGGATATGTGCTCTCCTCTTTCCTCAGTGAGGCTACTTAAACCATCAAGGATGAGGATGTCAGAGGTCCTCAGCCTGCACCTTTACTATTACACTAAAGGAAGTGGGGACCATGTCATGAAAAAAAAGGAATATGAAAACATTTCACATTTATACCAAATTCAGAGAGCTAGAGGGAATAGCACAGAATAACTGAAAGAAACGGCTAAGTAAATTATGGCATATACATACAATCATACAATCATAACATAGGATAATGTGTAGTTTATTATTAAATACAGTATGCAGCAGTTCAAAAGCAAACATAAGATGATATCATTCTAACTGCTAAAAATCTATATCTAGGGACCAGGGGATGGCATAATGGTTACATTGCTGGACTCCCACATAGTCAATCACAGTTCAAGTCCTGGACCTGGTGGCTTAAACTCATGCCAGGCACATTTGCATACATGCCCAAAATCCCGAGAGCAGAATAGAGAAGAGATTGCAGCATCACCATCCCCCTTGGGGGGGGCTGATTTCTCGCTTTCTGTCTCTCTGTCTCTCTGGCAAGCACATGCACCCTATAGCAAAAATCTCTCTCTCAAAAAAAAAACTATCTATATACACACAGAAAAATGTTTATAATTTATCACGTTACTAATGAGGCTTATCTTAAGGCACTGGGATTGTGGATGGCTATTGCTTTCTTCTTTCTAGTCTACAGTTTGTAATTTCTAGTCCACAATTTGGGTAATGATAACTTTTGCAATAAAAAACTTCTGGGACCAGCAGTTAGCGTAATGGCTATGTCGCTGGACTCCCACATGGTCGACCGCGGTTTGCGCCCTGGACCCGGTGGCTTAAACTTACTCCAGGCGTGTGTGCGTGCATGCCCAAGATCCCGAGAGAAGAATGGAGGAGAGAGATTGTGGTGTGGCCATCCCCCCTGGGGGGTGATTTCTCACTTTTTGTCTCTCTGTCTCTCTCTGTTTGGCGAGCACACGCACCCTATAGCAGAAACCTCTCAAAAAAAAAAAAAAACTTCTAAAAATAAAGACTTACAAACTAATGATTGTATAACCACATGTTTGTCATCTACACTGAGACACCTCAGAATGTGCTTGAATCAGCCTGATTCAGGGTAGATTTGCGTTCCCAGAGGTTTTGTACCTTTCTGGACGGAACTCCTCAGGTTCTGGCCAGTATTTTGGGTCTCGGTGAAGAGCAAAGCTTGGTATCATGACTATTACTCCTTTGGGAATGAATAACCCATTGATTTCGACATCTTTCTTACAGACTCTTTCAAGTCTGCCAGCCACTGGGTATAATCTGAGAACTTCATTTACTACCATGTCCAGATACTCCATCTGCATCAGGGCATCATAGGTAGGAGGTGCCTGGGAAGAAAGAAATGGATTTAGATAAATCGAGATTTGGAATGAACTTTGAGTCAGTATTACAACATTACTGAAATGTTGTTAGGAGTTTTAAAGAGTAACTCATACTGGTAAAGAACCTTAACATTTATAAGACTTTCTTTCTTTCTCCCTTTCTTTCGTTTTCTTTCTTTCTTTCTTTCTTTCTTTCTTTTTTTAATTAAGTTTTTGCCATAGGGCATGTGTGCTTGCCAGAGAGAGACAGTGAGAAGGAAACTGAGATATTATCCTCCTGGGGATGGCTATGCTACAATCATTTCTCCTTCACTCTCCTCTTGGGATTTTGAGTGTGCATGCACATGTGCCCCGCATAATCCTCAAACCACTGGGTCCAGGACTTGAACCATGGTTGGCCATGTGAGAGTTCAGTGACCTAACCACCATGCTACCTACTGGCCCCTGTAAGACATTTTAATAACTATCATGTTCTTTGACCTGCTCAGTGGCCCATTGAGATGTTTGAGTGGAGTCATTAGGAATATGGAAGACCTTTGGGTCAATTTCCTACCTGAATTCCTTAACATTATGATATAGTAGTTTTTTTCTTTCATGAGAACAAATATGACTAATAAACTATGACTATTACTCTCAAGCAAAATATGCCAAAGTCACTGTCTCCTTTTGAAAGAGAGGCCATACATCTATACCAAGGAAAGAGAATGTGTAAAAGAACAAATCTCTTAACCCACATAAGGCTTTTTATTTAAAAAATTCCATTTGGGAACTCTTGATTATATATGTAAAATGTAAAGGGAAAGACTATATAAAACTCTATGAATAATTTGAGGAAAAACTGGTCCCATTCTATCCCAACTATGCCAAAAGAAGGTTACTATTAGATGCTAACAGGGCACCCAATTTCAGTTTTGGTGAAAGTTAGAGAGAGGATGAAAACCCCACTCAGTCCCATTCTCGGTGGCTGGAACGGTGACCTAGTTGATATTTTAAGGCTTGAATGTAAACACTAAAGAAGGCCCCTTTGTGTTTACCTCACCACCAAATCAGCCATGCCATCTCCAGAGACCAGGTCTCTTCACACTGCAAAGAGGCCCTGTTTGAGAAGAGATTTGAAAACAGTGTAGGTGATGTGTACCTGTCACCTGGTGTTATGTTTGAGAGGCCATATTGGAGAGGTTAAGAATTTGGCTTGGAAACCTTCCTGATTCATATACTGGTTTATTCACCAGTAGCCTAAGATTGGATATGAGAGGTGTGTTGAACAGAGCTGAGTCAGCCTGCCTAGTCCAGGTAAGGACAGGCTTGATCACCAACAGCCAGACCACAGCACATCCAGCCAAAATCAGTGGAACTAATTATCCAGGCACTTGACCAGTGAAAACTTATGATTAGATGCCACTGAAGTTTTGTGTATTTTTTTAAAAGAATAATGTATTTAATTTTATTAATTATTTTAAAATTTGCTACAAGGCACACGTACTCACCAGAGAGAGACAGAGACAGAGAGAGAGGGGAAAAGTGAAAAGCAAGCTGCCAGATTCAGGACTCAAACTGCAGTCAGTTATGTAGAAGTCCAGCACTCTAACCACCATGCCACCTGTTGGACCCTCATGTATGGTTTTTATTTGGCATTAGATAAGGGATATACCAGGCCCAGCACTGTTTTACAAAGATTTCTATTTCTTTAAATAGCATTCATTACCAATGTTTCTCTGTCTCGCTCACTCTCTTTCTCTCTCTTTAGACTTTTTCTTAATAAAGCTGATTTAAATCAATGGTTACACATTTGCAAAAATTCTCCCAGGAAGTCCACTCACCTTATTAGGGAAAGTGGCATCAACCTCCTCCTGAAGTTTTTTCTGGACATCAGGATGAATGGCCAAAGTGTACATAATGAAGGAAAGAATACTGCTAGTGGTCTCATAGCCAGCAAAAATAAAGATAATTGATTGGGCCACAAGCTCCAGATCAGTCAGAGCTAAAAGGAGAAAAAAGGCATCTTAGGTAAAACAGGTCATTGTAAACATCAACTTTTAGATGAAGAGAAATCCAAATGAAGATCCCAAATTGCTAGGGGGATAGATGGAAAAGCAATTCAGAGTCATATTAGGTGTGGCTTTTATGCTAATATTACAGGGCTGAAACCAAGCAATTGAATTTGGATCCAGTTTTTCCCAAAGTCTGTAACATTCTTGGCCATCTGCTTCTAATTATGCCATCCTCATCTCCAACATGTTTAATTTCTGTCTATCATACTACATAGTGTTATCAGTATGCTACTTGGTTCATTGAAAATGTATTTCAGCTGTAAATAAAACATGATGTAGCAGTCTCCCCCAATAAGAATTTAAATTAGTCTAGCTAAAATATACCTTGAAAATTTTTGACAGAGTTTGCAATATTAAGATTTAATTGTAGAGAAAACACTTCCTCCACATGTTTGAAGGAACTTGAGGGAATTTAAGAGGACAATATTGGATTACAGATAAATTTTTGCCACTTGAAATGTGGTCTATGCTCCAGCAGCATCAGCAATATCTGGACGTTTATTAGAAATTCAAATCTTTAACCTTGACCTAGAACTACCAAATCAGAATCTGAACTTCTGGAAGAAGTGATGATTTGTGTGCACAACCTAGCTTGAGAAGCATAGATTACACCTAGGAAAGGCATCAGATGATAACAGAACTGGAGTAGAAGTTTTCATCTGGTGATCTCAGGATGTACAGAAACTACAAAGATAGACCAAGAGCTAGGAGAATAGTGACAAACACTGTATGTCCCTACTCAATATATACCGAACATCTGTACACTACGACAGAAATGAAAGACCTAAAAAGATAATGGTAGGGAAGATAAGTATGGATATCAGACATTATGGAGAGGAGCCTGGAGAGAGGCTTGGAGAGGAAGTGCTTGACAGACTTGTAATGAATGTAAAGAATGTAAAGTTCTCCAAAGAGAAAGGTATATATGGTAATATCCTTAATTTGAAGCTAACATAATGCATATTTTTGAAAAACTCAGTTATGTGCTATGGAGATGTACAATTAAATGTGAAGGAGGAACAAAGGAAAGGAATTTACAAAGTTTATTCAATCAGGACCTGAATGCCATCTTCCTTAGTTCATGCCCCTCTGTTGCTTTTCCTCATGCTTACCATCACAGCTCTTGTGATTATAAATTGGCCTCTCTTGATTTTTCTCTTGAGAGAAACTAAGTGTGCTCAGGCACTGGTCTGTTTCATCAGGACTGGATTAAGTCCTCTATATATGCAAAACAAAGATTCAGGCATGCTGCCTACCCAACCATGTAATTCTAAGTGAGAAGAATATGAAATGAGTGTGAGAAAGGTCTACAGAGTTCTGATTTCCCATTGATGATTTCTGTGATGCTCTTCTGGGCAAATTCACCTACTAATTCTTTCTCGTAATAAGCATGAACCCTGTCATACTAAAGCAAAACTGGACTAAAACTCAAAGGTTAGAGTTCTGCCGTCCAATATTGGAGCCATTAGCCACATGTGGCTATTTAAATTTAGGATTTTTGTTTCTTTGTTTTTTAGTTTTTTTTTTTTTCCCATAAAGCATGTGCAATCACCAGAGAAAGAGAGAAATCACTCTCCAGGGGGGGGAGGGGGGTGGGGGGGCCATAACACT